TCCCAAAAAAGAAATCTTGAGGCCCAGAATTCACTGTGAATTCTACCATTTTTTTTTTTAAATTTATACCAATTCTACAGAATTCTATTCTCTTGCAGAAAATAGAAGAGGACAATACTTCCCAATTCATTTTATGGAGCTACTCTGAAACTAAAACCAGAGGAAAAAAGTACAGACCAATATCCCTCATGAATATAGATACAAATAACCTTAAAAAATACATTAGCAAAGAGAATTCAGCAATACATAAAAATAATTCTACATTATGGCCAAATGGATGGAAGGCTAGTTCAACATAAGAAAATCAACTGTATAAAATCACCACATTAATAGGCTAAGGGATGAAAGAAATCACGTAATTTAAAAAAAAAAAAGCACTTGACAAAACTCAACATCCACTACATTGTAGAGAATACAATCAATGGCATAAATCAAAATGTGGACGAATTGTTGAATGGTAAAATGTTTTGCTCTATAAACCTTTACCCAAATTACAATAAAAAGTTAAAACTTTTAAATAAAAACATAAAAAAAGTCAATATCAGGATAAATCTAAAGAATAAAGAATAAATCTAGAACAGATTTGATGCACTGAACGTCAACGACTGAAAACCAGAGGAACTATGAGATGACATCAAGAATATCATCCATGAAGAAAGCAAAAGGTCATTAAAAAGACAGGAAAGGAAGAAAAGACCAAAATGATGTCAGAAGAGAGTAGCTAAAGCAAATGGAAGAAACGACAAGATAAAAGAACTGAACAAAAGATTTCAAAGAGTAGCTCGAGAAGACAAAGTCAGTTATTACAATGAAATGTGCAAAGACCTGGAGTTAGAAAACCAAAAGCAAAGAACATGCTTGGCATTTCTCAAGCTGAAAGAACTGAAGAAAAAATTTAAGTCTTGAGTCACAGTACTGAAAGATTCTATGGGCAAAATATTGAATGATGCAGGAAACATCAAAAGAAGATGGAAGGGATAAAGAGTCACTGAACCAAAAAGAACTGGTCAATGTTAACCCATTTCAGTAGGTGGCATATAATCAAGAACCAATGATATTGAAGGAAGAAGTGGAAGCTGCACTAAGGGAAGTGGCAAAATACAAGGATCCAGGAATTGACCAAATACCCATTGAGGTGTTTCAACAAACAGATGCCACACTGGAGGCATTCACTTGGCTATGCCAAGAGATTTGGGAGACAGCTACCTGGCCAACTGACTAGAAGAGATCCATATTTATACTCATTCCAAAGAAAGGTGATCTCACCTTTCTTTGAGAATGTGGAAATTATCAAACAATATCATTAACATCACATGCAAGTAAAATCTTACTGAAGATAATTCAAAAAATGGTTGCAGCAGTATATTGACAGAGAACTTCCAGAAATGCAAGCTAGATTCAGAAGAAGACATGGAATGAGAGATATCACTGCTGATGTCAGATGGATCCTGGCTCAAAGCAAAGAATACCAGAAAAATGTTTATTTGTGTTTTACTGACTATGCAAAAGCACAGTCAACTGTGCGGATAACAAATCATGGATAACAATGAGAAGAATGGGAATTCCAGAACAGTTAACTGTACTCATGAGAAACCTGTACATAGACCAGGAGGCTGTCGTTCAAACAGAACAAGGGGATACTGCATGGTTTAAAATCAGGAAGGGAATGCATCAATCTGTACGCTGAGCTAATAACCCAAGAAGCAGACCTCCAAGAAGAAAAATGTGGCATCAGGATTGGAGGAAGACTCATCAACAACCTGCGATACGCTGACGACACAACTTTGCTTGCTGAAAGTTAGGATAACTTGAAGCACTTATTGATAAAGACTGAAGACTACAGTCTGCAGTATGGATTACACCTCAATTTCAAGACAACAAAAATCCTCACTATGGAACTAATAAGCAGCATCATGATAAATGGAGAAAAGATTGAAGTTGTCAAAGACTGCATTTTGCTTGGTTCTACAATCAACACCAATGGAAGCAGCAGTCAAGACATCAGATGATGTACTGCATTGGGCAGATTTGTTGCAAAAGAACTTGTTCAAGTGCTGAAGAGCAAAAATGTCTCCTTGAAGATTAAGGTGCACCTGACCCAAGCCATAGTATTTTCAATTGTCTCATATGCATTGTGAGAGCTGGACAGTGAATAAGGAAGACCAAAGAAGAGTTGATGTTTTTGAGTTGTGGTGTTGGCAAAGAATGCTTAAAGTACCATGGACTGCTGAAAGAACTAACAAATCTGTCCTGGAAGAAGTGCAGCCAGAATTCTCCTTGGAAGTGACAATAGCCAGACATTAACTGACCTACTTTGGTCATTTTGTCAGAAAGGCCCATTCCCTGGAGAAGGATAAAGTAGAAGGAAAAGTGGGGGGCCAGTGAAAAAGGGGAAGGCCCTCAACGAGATGGATTGACACAGTGGCTGCAATAATGGGCTCAGGTATAGCACAGATTGCAGAGCTGGCACAGAACCAGGCAGTGTTTCATTCAGCCGTATATAGTGTTGCTATGAGCCAGAGACGACTTGATGGCACCTAACTACAACAACAACATTCATGATAAAAACTCTCAGAAAAAATTATTAAGAAGGAACTTCCTCAACTTGATAAAGTACAAGTACAGAAAAATAAAACTACAGCTAACATTATAATTAATGGTGAAAAAGAATGCTTTCCCCAAATTCTAGAACAAGGCAAAGATGTTCATTCTCACCACTCTTATTCAACATACTGCTGGGGATTCTAGCCAGTGCAATAAGGCAAGAAAAAGAAATAGTAAGAATACACCTCACCAAAGGAAGAAAACAAAACTATCCCTATTTGCAGATGACATGAGTTTACATAGAAAGGCACAAGAAATCTTAAAAAAATAAATAAATTTAACACCCTCCTAGCACGAATTTTAGCACAATAATACGCTATGAGATAAACACAAAAAAATCAATTAGCAGTGAACACATGGATATTGAAATTAAATATATAATACCATTTACAACTACTCAAAAAGTGAATTAAATAATTAGATGTAAATCTAACAAAACATACACAGAACTTAGATGTTGAAAACTGCCAAATACTGATAAAAGAAATCAGACATCTACTAAGTATCTAAATAAATGGACTGGAATACCTAACTGGTAACTTAACATAACAACTATCAAAATCTCAACAAGATTTTTTTGTACATAGACAAAATACTAATCTCAGTATTAATCTCCTGGATCTCTAGTTGTTGTTTTTGTACGATTTCTAACTTTTCATTTATTTTGTCAGTTTGTTCTTGCACTGTTCTAAATTAGTCTAAAGTTTTATCTGAGCTTTTTCAATTTTGTCAGTGTTTTCCTTTATCTGTCCCTTATTCCATTGATGGTAACTAAGCATAATTTTGTTGAATTCTTTATCAGGCAGTTCCAATGCCACTTCTTCTTGAAGGAGGTTTCCATTCTAAATTCTAAAATTTTTATGAAAAGACAAAAGAACTAGAATATCTAAAATAATATTAAAAAAGAAAACAAAGTAGGAAGGATAAGTCTGCTAGAATCCAGTATTATATAGCTACAGTAATAAATAAAGCCACCATTACAGGAGGGATAGCCACATGGATCAAATGAAATAGAACAGAGAACCCAGAAAGAGACCACACAAATATGCTCAACTGATTTTTACAGAGTTGTAAAGTGATAGAGCAACAGGACATACATATGTAACAACAAAAAAAAAAACTTTGACTTAAGTCTTAGATTTTATACAAAAATTAACTGAAAATGGATCATGGACTTGTATGTGTCACTATAAAACTTTTATTTAAAAAAAAGAGAGAGAGAAAAAAAAATCCTTAAGATAGAGCTAGGCAAAGAACTCTTAGACTTGACATCCAAAGCATAATCCATAAAGTAAAAACTGATAAACTGACTTCATTAACATTTAAAACTCAGGCTCAGCAAAAGACCCTGTTAAAAGAAGGAAAACATGCTAGATAAAAATATTTGTAATCATATATCTGACAAAGATCTGCTAGATTAGTGGTTGTCGGAGTTAAGGAAGGGTGGAATAGGAGGCGATTGAGTTTGGCTGTAAAATGCCAATAGGAAGAATCCTTGTGGTAATGAAAATGTTCTGTATCTTAATTGTATCAATGGCAACATTACTATGATATTGTGATATGTCAATAATATTGTGATATTAACCTATAGTTTTGCAAGATGTTACTACTGAGGAAAAATGGGTAAAGAATATAAGGGATCTCTCAATCATGACGAGTTACCACATTATTTCATGTTATGTGGAATATCTGAGCCTCAACTACATTTATTAACCATTATTTTTAATTATTATATATTAATTTTAACTTTCTATTTTAAATACCTTAAAAGAAAGTGACATTTCGAGAGCTACCAGTAAAAGTTAAACATCTTCAAGCAAAATAATCTATATCATTCTATAATAATTTGTCACTTAAATCTCAGAACCTAAAATCCAATTCAAGCCATATTTATGCTGCCCTGGCAAAATGCTTGAATTTTCCTAAAAGAAAAAATTATTAACACACCAATGAATAATTAATGTGCACCTTCTACTTGCCAAACACTGTTTTAGAAGTTTCCCTCCACATTTTCTCTGGAAACTATACATGATTCTAGAAGATAAATATTGGAAGTTCATTCAGCTGCTGTGAAAAATCCAATAGGGATAACACCACATCATCCACTATAACCTTAGTATTTCTTAGCCTTCCAAGTTGTAACTCACTGATAATATTTGGAATAAACCACTTGTTTCTCCTATCTTCCATAATATGTAGTCACAAGTCTCAAACTTCCTAGATAATTCGTCTAAGCTTAGAGCAAGAAGAAATGTTCAGACAAAGCCTATTCTAAAAGGTGCCCCAGCTAGAGTACATGCAACTTGTTCTCAAATTACCTATTCATCATTCTTACTTTCAAAATGTCTGAAATTCACCGTCACAATAGTTGAACAAAAAAAAGTTTATGTTCTTACAAATGATTTGTTCATGGCACGTTTCACTTCATCAGAACCATCTGAATAGATCTGCTGAAACAGTTTGTTTAAAGCCGCATCTCCCTCCAACTTCTCATTCTTTTCTTCTTCTTTGATCTCGCCAACCAATTTATCCCAATTTCTTGTATAATGGGATGATGATGGATATAGGTTCTTTACATCTATAACATATAAGGGCAAAAAGTAAAAAGTAATCAACATGTTTTGATCATGTCAAGAATACGTAAGCTATGCAACCATGGTGTATAGAACATCAAGGCAAATACTTTAATGTCACTAAATTTTGTTTGTAATAGAAGTGTCTTTAAGATATATACATCAATAACTAGATGTACACTAGTAAAAATGGAATCCGTTATCTTAATATAAAATCTGGAAGCTACTTCTAAGTAAGAAAATTCAATGGAGGATAAACTTATGATACAATATGCAAAATTAAAGACAGAGTCTTCACATTAATAATAGGGGAAATGGTGAGAGGAAACACACAAATTTACAGAAAAGCTGCAAAGACTATACAAACTATTATAAATATAAAAACATTATTTTTTAAAAAAAAGATGCATCATTCAGAAATTTCTCTTGTAAAAAGGATTTTAATGAATGTTTAAAATGTAACTTTTTCTGAGGTACTCAAATATTTTTAAGCCTCGAAATATACAAAATATAAATAATCATGTCATTTGAGTTAAGGCTAAATTTTTTCCCCACATTAAAAAATAAGGTTACTTCAATAGGAGGTAATAATTAGAAATCCTTAAATGTTTAAAAATACTATATCTGATCATCTACAGTGCAATGCCCATTATCATGCATACTTAGAAAATACTAGTACTTGTAGGGTACACAGAAGTAAATGGAGGTTCACTGCAGCCAGAAAGAATAGCTGTCCAGGGGTTTAAGTTACCTCCACAGGGGCCTCAATGCCCAAGGCAATCAAAATTTTGGCAAATAAGTCATAACCAGCCGACCTAGTCACTCACTATAGCAGGTCTGTCCAATGAAAATATAATGGAAGCCACAAATATGAGTCACACATATAATTTAACATTTTCCAAGAGCTACATGAATAAAATCAGGTAAAGTTAGTTTTAATAGTATATTTTACCTAACATATCCAAAATAATACCATTTCTATACTAAAATACTAAGATATTTTTCATTCTTTCTTTTTTTTTTTTCATACTAAGTCTTTAAAATCTGGTGTATATTTTACACTTATAGGATATTTTAATTCAGACTAGTCACATTTCAGGTATCCAAAAGGGACATGGAAGCTAGTGGTTTGGAAAGTACATCTTAGAGATTTTTTAAAACCTGTTTCAAAGTTTTCCCAACTGCCCATTAGGATATAGTCGATTATGACATAATCATAATCTAAATGTTCTCCCTCCAATACTGTCTGACTCTCTATATCCCTTTCCTCAAAACAGCTGAGAAACTACTAATGGATACATCCTTTTCCTTCACCTATAAGCCAACTAACCTCCTTTCTATTTCCACCAGAAAGATAGAAACAAACAAAAAAACTCAGTTTTGTTCAGGAAAAGTATTTGTTTTCAAAATTCTATCCATCTTCCTTCTACCAGTAATCATCTCTATCTCTACACATTTTCACTACAAAAAAACAAAACAAAACAAAACTGACTGCGTCAAGTCGGATCTAACTCACAGAGACCCTTCACTGGGTTTCCAAGGCTGTATCGCTACTGAAGTAGATTGTCCCATCTTCCTTCCGAGGAGTGGCTGATGGGTTTGAACCGCCAGCCTTCTGGTTAGCAGTCAAATGCCATAGACACTATGCCACCTATACATTTTCACTAGTGGCCAGATAAAATGATGACAAAAAAGCATACCATGGTAAATTAAGAGTCTGGGAAACATAGATTTAATTAATTCTAACACTGACTCTCAAGAAGGGTGGGAACAGAGGTTCTAATCTCCATTTTACAGATAAGAAAAACTGGCCCAGATAGGTTAAGGGACTTGCACTTATCTGCTGTCTCCAGCTTGCAGTACACAGGAATCTGACAAGCATATTAATTCGTTACAAAGATATAAGAGGACAGGAAGAATAATATCCTAAGTAGCTAAGGTGCTGAGTTTATAAAATTTTTAAACTATACCACTAAGAAAATTTTTTTATTTCAGAAAAACCTTAATACCTGTTGATGGCAGATGAACTGCTCAAAGATGGATAACCTAACTTCTGTGGCTCATTCACAATATCAAGTAACTTCCACACTCAGAAAATGCAGAGACAAACAATACCAAATGGGGTTCACAGAAGAACCAGACCCCCAACTCTGAAAATCCAGGTTTTAGTCCCAGACCATGACAACTGCTAGTTGATCTTAACCAAGTTGTTTAATCTTCCTGAGCTTTTAAAATAATAATAATACTGGACTCCTTACTGTTGTTTGAATTAAATAAGACATTTAAAGTGTCTTAAAAAAAAAAAAAAAAAAAAGCTTTGAGCTATATATAAACTTCAGCCCAAATATCTCTGGGACTTAGTCCCAAGAGAGGTACGTAACATTCTTACTATGGCTTTCAATTCAAGTGTGAAGCAATTTAAATTAAGTTCTTTAGGTACCAACCTATAATATTTCAGCCCTTAAAATTATTTGTTGGTGTTAATTTCCTGGTTCTGCTAAATATACCAGGTTAGTAAAGATAATGTCATTGGGAAGAGCTGGGAGAAAGGTGCATGGGAATTTTTATTTTGGCGATTTCTATGTAAATCTAAAACTATTTCAAAATAAAAACTGGATTTGGGTAACTGTTTTCAAAGAAGCTGCCACAAAGGTACATGTTTCCTGTTACAGAAGAAGGCAGCAAGCAGCAAAAATCTGAAAGTATCTAGTACATGAGGCTACTGCTGTAAAATATAAACTTATGTTATAGTTCTGAGAATGCCCTATCAAGTAATTATTCCATCAAGAAAAATGGGAGCTCTGGTAGCATAGTGCCTAAGGGATGTGACTGCAAACCAAAAGGCTGGCGGTTCAAACCCACCAGCCACTCCTCAGAAGAAGGTTGGGCAATCTACTTCCGTAGTGATACCTCCTCGGAAACCTAAGGCGGGATCGCTATGAGTTGGGTCCGACTCCACACCAGTGGTTTTTTTTATTATCAAGAAAAATGTAGCCTGACTGCTCTCTGCATATGCTTAAAAGAGACCTCAACATAAAGTCGTCTGTCCTTCAAGATCCAAACCACCCTACTTATCTCTTCTTCTAGGCTTCCCGTAGGCATTCATTACCTGTTTGTGTCCCATCTTTAAATTATCAATATCAAATGTGCCAGATACACTGTGAAGACCCAAAATTCCAGGAAATTACAGCTCACAGTATCAGTAGAAGGAATAGAAATGAATAAATATGTGAAGGTAGTAGGAGGTGGCAATGTCAGCAGAGTAAAGTTACACTTACAACCCAAAGTGAAGCCACCTGGGAAGGCCAACACAAAAAACAAACAATCCCCAACCAACATCATAAACTGACCAGTAAACAGTAAATCCCAACCCCCCTCCTAGGATCTTGCTGACATTCATTTTGTATTCTTAAGAGTTTAAGAAGTGAGAATTTAAATTTTTCTTAAAAAAAAACTTTGTTTTCATTACAGAGCAACTTTATTATACTCAATCTTGTAAATATAAATAATGAAAATAGAACAAATGTTCCTTATTATTTAATTTCAACACAATATGAATTTAAAGCTCATCAAGACCAGAAAACAAACCTGCTGTGAATTGTTTTGGTTTAGGCACATCTCCTTGTCCCTCTAGCTTTTCCCATCTCACAGCTTCCGGCTTTTTCATTTTTATTTCAATCTATAGAAAATATCAAATAAAATCCATTATTTGATATAAAATATACAAAGGAGTTTAAAAATTTTCATAAGTCATCAAACTTTTATAAGAATTAATAGTTCCTGACATTGTCTCTTTAAATTAGGCCAAGTTAAATGTAAAGAACCATGAAACATCTATCTTTGTTTCCGCACTTAAAATTTACCTTTCAAACACTACACACAGACTATAGAGTCTTGAAATCCATGCTTTTTTCCTCTAATGCAGTGACTCCCTACTAGGGGCAATCTCCCAGGGGACATCTGGCAAAGTTTGAAGATATTATTGATTGTCACAACTGGGGTAGTGGTGGGGCTGGGGTGCTACCAAAACCTTTTGAATAGAGGCCAGGGATGCTACTAAACTGTATCTCACAATGTACAGCAGGGCAACCCTCACAACAAAGAAATATCCAGCTTCAAATAATAGTGCCACCACTGAAAAACCCTGCTCCAGAATGCAAAAATTTCATTGTATAGAAATAAAACTAATGCTAATATTTTCACAACCATTCATCCAACAAACAATTATTGAACACCCACTATGAGAGCCAAGTGTTGTTTTCAAGGATGTAGGGATTTTAAAAATACTAAAGACAGGTATTTGACCAAGATGCATGTATAAGTGTGGGAGGAGTTGGTCTCCAGAGGCAAAAAGAAGAGCCTACAGCTAAAGGGCACAATGCAGCAGGAAGGATGGAGAAGGTCAATTTGCCTCAATCTTAGGATTTATTTCATAGCAGTGAAAAATACAGGTGGAAATAAAAGTAGAAGGCAGACAATGAAGAACTTCTGAATGCTAGACTAATAAGTTCACCTATTAAAATGAAAAATAGATCCTAATAGCTTATTTGAAGTCCCTGGGTGGTATAAACAGTTAAGTGCTACCTATTGCTACAAACCAAAAAGTTGGCAGTTCATACCCACCCAGAGATCCCTTGGAAGAAAAGCCTGGCAATCTGCTTCTAAAGGGTCAAAGCCTTGAAAACCCAATGAAGCGCACTTCTACTCTGTACACATGGGGTCACCATGAATCAGAATCAACCTGACAGAAAATGATATGGTTTTTTTGGAACAGTGTATCTTACTCTCTCTCATCAAGGTTGGTCCCTAGAATCTACCCTTATCCCTAACACATAATAGGGAACTGTGGTGGTCTACTGGCAAACTTTTTTTTTTCCTGGAAGTATTTTAGAACTCTGTTTCAAGGCTGTAAGCACTAAATAACAGTTCCCCTGACTTTTAAAATTTAAAGCCTTCCCAAGTTCTCTTACCCAGTTCTTTGAGCACTAACTCGCTATTATCAAACCCTTTACCCAGTAAAGGCTGATCAGACTGAGGCCAAACTAATAAATCTACCATCTTTCACACTCAAATAATTTTATACCAATTTTTTAAAATTCAAAAGATGGATTCAATAAATAGAGAAAGAAGAACCAAATAATCTCCAGAATTCTAAAAGCTCAGTTCAAGTATTTTCCTGAGTGCCTATTCTAAGTCAGAGACCCTGGGTGGTACAAACAGTGAACACATGCAGCTGGTAACCAAAAGGTTAGAAGGTTGTGTATGCTCAGAGGAACCTCAGAACAAAGGCCTGGCAATCTACTTACAAAAACATCAGCCAAAGAAAACCCTATGGAGCACAGTACTATTCTCACACATGTGGGGTCACCATGAGTCACAACTGATTTGATGGCAACTGGTAACTGATACTCTGAGCAAAGCTTTGTGCTAGTAGTTAACAACACTGTGTTTTCTTCTAGAGAAAGTGGTAAGAAAAATCCTCATAAACAAAAAAATTCCAGTATGTGTCATTTGTAATGACAGACCTAAGTACTAGAAAATATCTAGTTGCCGAGGAAGAAGTATGCCAAGATGTCATTGATGATGAGACTGATGATTACTTTCTCAGCTCCCTTATAGTTTTCCAAATTTAATGATACGCATTTATTGCTTTTATAGTGTGAATAAAAATCTAAATAATCAGGATTAAAAAACCATAATCATAGCAATAATTTATTGAGCACTTATTATATACCCTGTTGCTAAGTGCTTCACATACATCATCTCCCTTAATGTAACAACCCCATAAAAGGAGATTCCCATCCGTATCTTAGAGAGGAGGGAGCCAAGGCGGAGGAGATGAGGTAACTTGCCAAAAGTTATTTTTTAGCTAGAAGCTTTACTTATTTCTCCAGAAATAAGTAGGAGTAGAGAAAAAGACAAAAAGCAATGTGTTATGTAACTAGAATAAGAAGAATCACAAAGTGCCACTTTATGGATGTATGGACATAAGTATGTGAAAATATCACTGAATTGAGTTCTTCCACACAATGGGACTAACAATAATGCCTATTAAGATTCTTGTGAGAATTAAAAGGGGTCATGAATCAAATGCCATTATCATATTGGACAAATTTGCTACAAATGATTTCTAACATTTTAAATGCCAAGATGTCATTTTGATGACCAAGGTGTGTCTGACCCAAGCCAAGACCTTTCTAGTAGCCTCATAGGCATGTGAAAGTTGGACAACGAAAAAGGAAAACAAAAGAATTAATGATGGTCAACCTATGGTACTGACAAAGAATATTGAATATACTATGGGCTACCAGTAGAATGAAGAAACACAACTAGAATGTTCCTTAGAAGTGAGGATGGAGAGACTGCAACTCCCTTACTTTGGACATGTCATCAGAAAACAGCAATTGCTGGGAAAAGATAACATGTCTGGTAAAGCAGAGGGCTAATGAAAACCAGCAAAAACCTCAATGAGATGGACTCACACAACTGCCACGATGGACTCAAACACACCAATGATCTTGAAGAGGGTATAGGATGGGGCAGTTATTTCATTCTATTAAATATAAGGTCTCCAGAAGTTGGAGCTGACTCTGGGTAACTAACAACATAACAACAAGGAAAGATTATAGCACTGTGTATGGCAAATAATCAACAATGGAATGCTATTATCTATATCTTCAACATCATAACAATTAGTTGAAAAACTTGGGCAAATTACTTAATATATCTGTGTTCAGTTTGTGTACCTACAAAATGGGAGTAAAAATATCTATACCATGCATTAATTGTGAAGACTTCATGAAATAATACACAACCACCATGCCTGGCCTAAGGTAAAAACAGTAAAACGTATTAGCTACTATGTAACTCTTTCTGTAAGTCAAACAACATGGGACTGGGTAAACAAGCTATATAGTATGTGCTTAGGATGGAATCCTTTGCTACTAAATATGTAAGGGCATGGTAAACTATCCGTAATACATGACTAAGCTTAAAAAGGCAGCAGCAGAATAGTGCATGTGGTAAAACTGGTTTCTCTTAAAGATGTATAAGTATACATTAATGGAAAAGGTGGCAAGCATACATTCCAATATTCCCAAGTGAGAGATGCCAGCAACTAAGTTCAATTTTAAAAAACCAAAAGGAAAAGAAAACTTTACCATTACTGCCATCATATCAAAAACAACAACAAAAATCTACAATATTTTGAAAAAGAATAGCAGTAACAGTGGCACAACATGAAAAATGTTGTCAATGTCTCTGAGCTGTAAATGGGGAAAGTTTTATGTTGGTGAATGTCTTGTGTATGTTTTCACCACAATGAAAGTAAAAACACAACAACAAAAAAGCCATAGTAGCATCATGCCCAGAAACCCCTACTCCAGTACCTGATCAATGAGACTATGCTATTTATATTAACAACAGGAATTCACTTAAAACTTGTGAAATTTTAAGTGTCAAATAGGGGAAACGAAACCAAAAACCAAACTCACCACTGGCGAGTCATTTTCCGACTCATAGAGACCCCTCTTTGGGTTTCTAAGGCGGTAAGGCGGTATCTCTACAAAGTAGATTGCCCAACCTTCCTTCCTAGGAGAGGCTGGTGGGTTTGAACCACCAGCCTTCGGGTTAGCAGTCAAATGCCTTAGACACTACACCATCAGAATTCCTGGTAAATGGGGGGGGGGGCACTATTTAGTTTCTAAGTAAAGATAAATGTTTTTATTTTCTAGTTATTCTACTTGAAAGCCTTCACATTTACACTGGATGGAAAAATTAGTTTGACTAAGAGTAGGAATACAAGAACATTTCCACAAGAGCAAATTTACTCCAAAGGATTTTGAGAATTCTGATTTTTATTTAGAGGGAATGAATATTAATCTTTAAAATTAATATTTCAGTGTAGCTTTTTATGTAATGAAATTATGGTCTTATGACTGTGACTAGAGAGTATTGTCATGAAATTAATAAAATGGAACAAAAAACTACTTAAAAACTTCTTTGTTACTTCTCTAAAAGAGTAAAAAGAGAACCTACAGATCAGAAAGAATATTCGGCAACGTCATATCTGACAAGGGATTTATCTCTAGAATTTATAGAAAACTCTAACACCTCAATAACAAAAAGACAAATAATCCAGTTAAAAAATGGGCAGAATACACGTATAAACACTTCACCAAGGAGGATGTTCAGGCGGCTAACAAACATTATGAAGAAATGCTCACGATTCTTAGCCATTAAAGAGATGCAAATCAAAGCAATGAGATACCATCTTGCCTCAGCACTAGCAGCAAAGTTCAACAAGACAGAAAATAACAAATGCTGGTGAGGATGTGGAGAGATTGGGACTCTCCTACACTGCTGGTGGGACCGCAAAATGTTACAACCACTGTGGAAAGCAGTATGGCGATTCCTTAAAAAGTTGGGATTAGAAATACTGTTTGACCCAGCAGTTCCATTACTATATATCTATATATATAGTCTACATATATACTATATATAGTATATATCCTAAAGAAGTGAGAGCCATGACAACAACAGACATATGTACACCCATGTTCATCGCAGCACTATTTACAATAGTCAAAAGATGGAAACAACCTAGGTGTCCATCAACCAAAGAATGGATAACCAAACTATGGAACATACACACAATGGAATACTATGCAACCCTAAAGAAAAACCTAGAATCTGCAAAACATCGCATAATGTGGATGAACTTGGAGGACATTATGCTGAGTAAAATAAACCAATCACAGAAGGACAAATATTGTATTAGTCCATTATTGTAAAAGTCAAGGAACGGTTTATATATGGAAGGAAATTTTCTTTGTTGGTTACCAGGGGTGGGAGGGGAGGGAACACTGTTAGATAGGTAGAGGTAAGTACTGATTTGGATGAAGAGAAGGGCAATGTACCAAATGTGAATGATCAATATGGTGGCAATGAGGAAGAGGAAGACATAAGAGAGGTACATGGGAGGTGCAGACAACAAAGATGAACCCTTTTGCACATACAGTACTGCATTGTCAGTGAAGGCAAACATGGGTATACGGGTGGCTAGATGGGTAGGCAGGCTGAACTATCAGGTATGTCTATGCAGCAGGAAGTGTACCCAAGACCATGTATAGGGTTGGCAGACAACAGTTCTATAAGTGTATTTGTATGTTCTGTAAGAATTTCCAGGGATATAGTAGAGCTGACAAGGGAGAAGGTTGTAGTCACTTCTTAGTCACAGCCAGCTGCCCAGAAGGAACAAGAAGTTAACCTGTGGGCTTGGGACCATAGTTGCAGGGGACATCAAACTCAACTGACATAACATACTACACAAAACACTGTTCCACCTCCTGCTAATTCTGGTTTTCAAAACACATACTAAATATTAAATTTTAAAATAATTAAATGCTATTTCATTAATTTAAGGGGCTTAATTCTTCCTATTTTCTGTGTAAACTGTATTTTCACTCAAATTAATAACCAATACACTGATCTGTACTGTTCTTCAACATTGAAAGTGTGAAAGAAAACCGAGTTCTCAAAAGCAAAGAAACAGCCCTTTCAAAAATCACACAGATTTTACAGAATCTTTCATTTTAAGCAAATTCTCCTAAGCTAAATTCACATAATGGGTTTAAGACATTTGAATACTTACGAAAAGCAAATTATTTCAGCACTTTTCCTTCTCAGAATCATCACTAAATAAGCCCTAGGAACTCAAAGAAAGATCTTCAATATTTTAACAGTCTCCCTCTGCTGTATGAAAAGGAAAGTACTCAAAGATTTCATAATTAAGAAAAATTACTTCAAAATTTGTTCCCTATAAAATACAGTTTAATGGGGTCAGGACAAGAAAAATAATTATCCTTTTTAGAATCCTTTAGAATACAACTCAATACTCCATTCTTCCATGTAGAACTCAGAAAATCCAGAAGTCACAGTATTCTTCTGGGTTAGTCTGAACAATTCAGTATTTGGGAAAATGTAGGGAAAGCATTTAACGTTTATGAACCTCAGTTTTTTTTTCATCTATAAAATTAAGAACAAGAATACTTTCCTCGTCAACTTCATAGGACTAGTATCAGAATCTAATTCAGACTTATTCATTTATAATGGAGAACTCACTATGAACAAAGCAGTAAGCTACACTTGCCAAGTTTAGCAAATCAAAATATGGCAAGGAACACACTTATATTAAATGAAATACAAAGTTAACTAGACATCCTGTAGTTCAGCTAGCAACCCTAACTTTGGTACCTATAAGGACACAAATAAGACACTTCTTTTCCTGGTACATGGGCTGAACATTTACATCAGGTAGATACACTCCTTGGAGAAATCAATCATGGGAGAACAGAAGGGCAGTGTATGCACAGGGAGATGGGGGAGGTGTGCACGGGCGGGAAGGACACAGGGAAGAGGTTAACTATGAGGAGGAAGTAGGAAGAGAGCTGTTACATTGTGGGAAATTGCAGTCAGCGTCATGAGACAAAATGTGTATTAACTGCTATACGGAAAACAAATTTACTCTGTGAACTTTCATCCAAATCACAATAAAAACTAAAAAAAAAAAAACACTTCTTTTCCTCAAAGAACTTAAAGAAAAGTAAATAAAACATATACATAAACAACTATTATATAAGGAAGAAAACTGATTATGAAGTATTTAAAAAAAGAGCAGTACCACAAAAAAAAAAAAAGGCACTGTAGGAATGTTGCAGGGTTAGCAGGGGCTGGTAAGAAGCAACAAGTACTCACAAGATTAGAATAAACAATCAAGATATAACACAGTGCTTAGTTACATCTGCAATTCTAACCACACAGATCTGTATATTTACTATATATACTATTCTTCCATAAGTATATCGGGTAGTTAAATAATACAAATTTGTAAGTCATGCACCATTTATTCACCCAAACAAATTTATATTTAAAATACTTCAAATGGACATACATTAACAATCTCTTGGTAGAAATATATATGAAAATACCAAACTCATAATTTTCTGACTCATCTCCCTCCCAAATCTACCTACAATTTTGCATCTGTTTATTTACCCAAAATTCTTTTATTAAACAAATTCTATACTATGTGGATGGGGCCAGTAACAGATTAAAATCCTGGTAAAATTTTCTTCACTCAACTCTCCTAAAAAAAATACTGTTTGATACCTCTGCCTCATAACTAAGTAGCTTTGTTCTTTGTAATCTTTTAGAAAAAAGGCATAGCCTTTTAATTAAATGCAAAAAAAGTATTGCTTGTTTACTTTCCATTTCCTGTTCCAAACCTCTGCAGCTGTCTCTTCTTTCTGAAGACCCACTTAACCACTCTCTAAGGCCAACCCTGATCCTACTCCGTAACAGGAAAATTCATACGTCCTTAGAATTAAACTTAATAGTCAAGATAGTGTGCTGCAAGAAATGTGTATCAAGGAGATATAGTAATGGAAAGTCTATCCACATTGTTCAATCCCATTAACTCATTTATTATTTATTATTACCATCATACAATTTTATAGCTGGAAAAGATTTCAGAGTTCATTTAGCCCACATCCCTTAATTTACAGATGCTAAAAGTTAAAAAAAAAAAGAAATTTGCTATAATTATTTTGTCACTAGTCTACACTCATAGGACAAAGAACCAGAAGTCAGATTTTTTTTCAGTTCAATTGTTTCCCCAATAAATTACACTACCACCTACCATCTTTTCACTAATTTTTAAATATTCTGTGAATTATAACTCTATTCTGTATTTTTACTCCTTTTTGAAAATATATACCTCCAACCTCACTGCCGTCAAGTGTAAACCGACTCACAGTGGCCCTTCCTTGGGTTTCTGAGGCAGTATCACTATGGAAGTAGATCGCCCTACCTTCCTTCCAAGTTGAAAATATAAAAGAATCTGTAAACTGTGTAACTACTCAAACAGCAATTTAAATTACTCATTAGTGCCTCATAATAAAGAGCCTAAAATTCAGCTTAACTAAAAAAACAAAGCAGATACATCTTTACAGTAGTTTGCATTTTTTTTAAACTGTGTAAGCTATGGTGAGATGGTGTTTGTATATCTAAACAGATTAAATTTGAGAAATTCATGAGAAGAGACACTGTCAGTATCAAATCTTAAAGGGAGGCACACAGATGTATCTATCATTTTTAAAACATTTATACTGAGAATACACTAATCTTATTTTTAAATTCCACTGTCTACAATGTAAAAAAAAAAAAAAACCTGATACTCAAATATTGTTCATATGACAAATAATTAATGTCACTGAACTGTGTATGTGAAGACTGTTGAAATGGCAACTGTTTTATTACCTATATATTTACAATTTTTTTTAAAAAAAAAAGATATGTGGCTGAAAGGATCCACACTTACTTTTAAGCTTATAATCACACAAGTATTAGTTCATCAGTGTTAAAATATTACTAGAAATAACCCTTTTCAAATATCTTACCTTTGTTGAAAGTACTTTAAATGTGCTCTGTTCTGGTATTATAGGATGAAGAAGTCTCAGTTTCAAATTGTAATCCTCTCCAGAAGGAAGTTTCACCAAAGCAGACAACTAATGAACATAAAATTAGCAACATGTTTTGTAAATTTATATAATTAAGATTACAATACTTAACTTAATATAAGTATAGGTTTCCTCAGCTACATGAAAGTAGAGTGTTCCTGGAATGAAACTTTTCCTAAGCTGAAAGGGTATAAAGTAAAGATGCAATTACCCTTAATTTATATGGCAACAATTTTTGAGCGTTGCCAGACCCAAAAAATAACTTAACCAAACCGTACCAGATAACAAATAAAACCTATAAAATGACACTAACATAGAGTGTTCACAGTCACAATTCAAAACTATGGTGGCTTGATGTGGAGTATAGTTCCCAAGGAAGGAGGTTGGTAATGCCACACTCACTGTTGCCTCTTTAATGGCTCCCTATAAAACAATGCTGAACACTAGTTTGGCTTTTCGCATTTCACTGTAAAAGGGAACATCTTTCGTATTTTTTTGGGTTAGCAAAAACAACTACTAATGTAGATCTTTTAAAAGCAAAGTAGCATAAAGCAAACTTTCAAGAAGCAGGGCTACCACTATAGACTTTCAGTACTGGTGCAGATTATTTTAAGCATACTACATGGAATATGAGATTTAAGATGAGAACTAAAACAATAAAAAAAAAATCTTATTTTTATTTGGTATACTTCACAAAGATTCTCATAATGCAACAGCAGAAAAGAAAATATTTAATGAAACATGTATTTGGGATTTAAATCTCAAGAAAATTCACTAAAAAACAACGAAATGATACCATGTATATGTAACAACTATTCGTGCTGCAACACAGTTCTCACACAAACTACCTTAAGTATCTATCATAAGGTTCTCTGATAAATGCTAATGAAGTTACTGAAAGTCATACTCATTTAGCTGGTCTGATAGAGCCTGGTGAAATCCCTGGGACTATGGCCCCTTGCTGCCCTTCAGATCTGGAATTAAACCCACTCCTGTGGCTTCCAGCCAAACAAAAGACAGGCATATCAGCTAAATGTTTACATTAGGTAGATACACTCCTTGGAGGATCAATCATGAGAGAATAGAAGGGCTGTGTATGCACAGGGAGACAGCTGGGGGTGGGGTAGGAGTGCCTGGGAAGGAAGGACACAGGGAAGAGTTAACTGTGGGGAGGAAGTGGGAAGAGAGCTGTTGTACTGTGGGAAACTGCAGTCAATGTCATGAGACAGTGTATGTGAACTGCTATATGGAAAACGAATTTGCTCTGTAAACTTTCACCCAAATCACAACTAAAGAGAAAAAAGTCATTTAATATGGTTAATGAATTTGAAAACATACATCTATCACAATACAAAACAAAAAACTAAGCCTCTTTCATGGAGTATACTCCACAACCTTAATCTAGTCACATATCTCACTGCCAAGCAAGTTCTGCTTTGAAATTCCAAATCTAAACAAAAAGAAAATAATGACAGCTAGCTATACCTATAGCACATATATATTATCTTAAAACTTAAAATTATTCAAAATGAAAAGCAATGCTTAGATTTTATTCAGCATTTTCACATAATCTCAGGAAGAAATGGTATAAAGCTGATAAAATGTTGTACATTATCCTGTAATACACCGTACTTGCAAATAAAAGTATATAATCACATTAAAAAAAATGGTTCAAAGACTATACTAACCTCTTTTTCTGAAAACTCCACGTTTACATCATTTTTCTGAACATTTTTAATCATAAGTGTAATGATTACTTGAGATTCTGTTTGATACCAGTCATACCTATTTAAAAAAGAAGGAAACTTAAAACAGAACTAATGTTTTAAAAGGTTTTGCTTCTTTAATGTTCTGTCAAGATAAAAACTACATACAGTCTGATAAACAACAGCTCCACTTTGAGGCACAAAGTAGCAAAGAAGTTGTTCATTCACACCAACGATTTTATATAACCAATCTTCTATGATCTATACTAATACAAAGGAACTCTGGTGGCATAGTGCCCAAGGCATTTGACTCTAACTAGAAGGTTGGCAGTTCAAACCCACCAGCCACTCCACAGAAGGAAGACTACTTCCATAAAGATTTACCGCCTCGGAAACCCAAAGGGGGTCGCTATGAGTCGGAATCAACTCGATGGCAGCAAGGCTGTGGTTTTTGGGTTGTTTTTTTTTTTTGTACTAATACAAGAGAGCATATAAGGTAGATGATGTCCCAAACATTTCAGGTGGATTTAAACACTTACATTACATGCCTGTCTGGACGTCATACTTATATCCTTAATGCTGTTGTGCTTAAACTAACATTAAAGGTAAAATATATTTTGAAGTTACTACTATCAATAGTTTCATATTCTCATTTTAATGTAATACCAAAATAAAGTAAAATATTTCTATCAATATTTTACAGATGAGAAAACAAGCTCAGAACGGTAAAGCAAAGTCACAGATCCGTCTTGTGGCAGTAATGCACTGGGCCCAGATCAGCTTGACTCCACACACCAAGCTCTCTTAACTAAACCTGGGTGCAAAGAGCCCCAAGGACATGTAGCAGAAACAAATGAGCTAAAACTGAAACATTGGATAATTCAAAGTTTAACTCACTGTGCAGGCACAACATTAAATATAATGTTATTGTTGTTATTTGCCATAGAGTCAGACCCGACTCATAGAGACCCCTCCTTGGGTTTCTGAGGCAGTATCACTACAGAATTAGATTGCCCAACCTTCCTTCCGAGGAGTGGCTGGTGGGTCTGAACCGTCAGCCTTCTGGTTAGCAGTCAAGTGCCTTAGGCACTATGCTACCAAAGCTCCCATTAAATATAATACCTTTCTGCAATCTCAAGATGGGTAGGAAGACTAGAGTGTATAGAGATTCTAATTATGAGTACCTTTCCCACTGCAAGCTCTAAAAATGTAGAGGATTTTCAATTCTAAGTAAGTGCCACCAGGGCAGGGCTATAACTATCCCATTATTATTCTATTTCCAGGGTCAAACACAGAACCTGGCACACAGTACATTTAATACTAAACAAATAAAACATGGATTGCTTTATGATCCAAACACCATAATTATTATTTCATAATTATATGCCTTTCTCTGCTACTGCCACCAGACAGGTCAAAATTTCCATCTACCATGTATTTGAGAGTCATCCTATATCTCCCTAAAATTAAAATAAACAAAGTTTTAATATTTCCAAGTCATTTTGGTAATTATGTAAAAAAGTACCTTGATTAAAGAAATGAAATTTAAAAGTTTCAGTCTCCCATCAAGTATGTCTAGGCAAAAGGGATTGAACCTATAACCATATGTATGTTTGTCAGACAATATTTCTACATACGTATTTATATGTGCTATAACAATGGCCAGATAAATAGAACTAAAGGGGCAAAGTTATAACAACTTCTTGGCAACAGCCAACCACTCCAAAGGAGCAAGTTGTTGGACCTGTGGGCTTGGGACCACAGTCACATGGGACATCAAACTCAACTGGTGTAATGTACTACACAAAAACACTGTTCTATACACTACTTTGGTGAGCAGTGACTAAGGTCTTTTAGCTTACAAGCAGCCACTTAGCTGCAACAATTGGTCTCTTCTACTATGGAGCAAAAAATGAAGAAAATCAGAGACTCATGGAAACAATTATTCCAAGGGACTTGTGGACCAAGCAAACCTCAGCCTACATGACCCTGAGACCAGAGGAACTATCACTGGCTATCACTGTCAACTACTCAGAAAGGCATCAAAATAGGAGATCCTGGAAAAAGTGGGAGAAAAATGTGGAACAAAACTCAAAATCATAAAGAAGATCAGGCTTATTGGTCTAAAAGAGACTGGTGAAACCTCTGAGAATAAAGCCCCCAGTCACCCTTTGGGCCTGGAAATGAACTCACTCCTGTAGCTTCCAGCCAAATAGATAGGTATATTATAAGGTGAACATTTATACCAGGTAAGGACATTCCTTAGAACAATCAACCACTGGCGCAAGTATTGGTACAGCAAGATAGCTCAGAGGGCAGGAATGCATAGAAAAGGACAAAGGGAAAAGGTAATGACAGGGAGGAAGTGCTAAGAGAGCTGTTACACTGTGGGGAATTATATTCAATGTCATGAAGCAAAATATGTATGAACTATTGCATGGAAAATGAATTTACTCTGTAAACTTTTACCCAAATCACATTTAAAAAAAAAAAAAGAAGAAGAAGAAGAAAAATGCATTGACCCATGTCACTTTAGTTTTTTGTATTTTACTGTACATAAATTATATTTCAATAAAATGTATTTTTTTTTAAAAAAGTTTTAGTCTCCCTCTGAAATTCAGTGAAGTTTCTGAAAGCTCCAGCTCAACCCCTTATATTTCTTACTTTTACAGTCCTAAGAATAGAAGTTGGACACAAGGCTAATAAAATTATTAAAAATAATTCAAATATTTGCTAGATGCTCTTCCATCAGGATAGTTGTTGCCCTCAGCAATAATCACTTTCAACACATATAGAATATTTTTATGAAAAATTTACTCAAAATATAAAAGGCATGGCAAGTTATAATTTTTTATGCCTAAAACCAAACTCACTGTCACAGAGTCGATTCGGATTCATAGTGATCCTATAGGGCAGAGTAGAACTGCTCTATGGGGTTTCCACAGCTGTAAAGCTTTACAGAAGCAGACTGCCTCTGTGCCCTTCCACAGAGTGGCTGGTAGGTTCAAACCACTGACCTTCTGGTTAGCAGCTGAATGCCCTAACCATTGCACCTTATTTACCTGTGCCCAGTTTAACTAGGAGAGGCTTTCCTTAATATATGGAAAAGGTGACATAAAATTGAAACCAGGTAGAACACTTCTATGGTGGTTATATTTGTGTGACAACTTGTCTGGGCCTGGTTGAGTGGTTGGACAGCTGAATGTACTTATTCCCCACGGTGAGACTGGTAATTAATTCCATGGTAGAATGTACTGGAACAACTGAATAGCTGCTTAAGGATGTGGTCTCCTTCCCATATATAAGAAAAAGCTTTGGGAATGGTCTCTAGCTTATAGCACACTTGAACCCTGCACATAGCCGTGTTGTTGTTCAGCAGCCTGCCATGCTCTGCCAACCTTGTGAGTTTCAATGGACCTGAATCAATGGCTTGCTGTATGATTTGGTAACATCAGGATTGTGCCTTTTATTTGTCGACCTTGGCCAGTAGCTGCCTGAGTGAAGAGATGTCCCTAGCTTCAGTGGGCCGGGAGCAGGAAGCAGAGCTGAAGCCCAAGGCTGAGGAGCTTTCACACAGTCCCTAGACCCTGATACTTTGAATTCGGACTTCTAGCTTCCCGAACTCTAAGAGAATAAACTCCTGTTTGTTCAAGCCATCCCATTTGTGGTATATTCCTGTCAGAATGGCACTAGGTAACCAGAACAACTTCTAAAGTTGAGAAATGATTTGAATGCAACCTCTGGTGGCACAGTGCCTAAGGCATTTGACTATTAACCAGAAGGCTGGCAGTTCAAACCCACCAACCACTGCTCAGAAGGAAAGCTGAGCAATCTACTTCCATAGTGATACAGCCTCAGAAACCCAAGGAGGGGTCGCTATGAGTCAGATCTGACTCGACAGCAGTGTGTTTGGTTTTGGTTTGAGTACAGACACTAATACTAATCAGAAAACAGCCTTAGAATTAGTTTTTTATAAGGCCGTAACGCAATTTTAAATAACAAAACTTAAGAAATACTTAAAATGACGTGGTGTGGATTTGCTCAATATTAAATTATAGGTTGCTTGGCTATTTTTTTTTTCTATTAGGTATATTTATCATGTATTATTTTACAAAACAGAAATACTTACTTGATTTTTGACTGATGAGTCTGCTGGGATATAGACTGTTTTTGGCAAGTTGAATGAGAAAGATTTATACAAGTTAGTTCCATAACTATGCACTAAAATACATGTATTATTAATTTACCCAGCTCTAAGGTAGCAACTAAAAATACCTACAGATAGTTATATTGGTATGAGTAACTATATGAAAACTTCCCTCAAAGACAAAATATGGTATCCATAATTATTCTAAAAAATTACCAGTCTTTATTTAAAAAAAAAAAGAATGCTCAGCATTTCATTACTTTCAAATTCAAAACCACTTTTTTCCCTAAAATAATGGAACATAAAAAACAAAAAACATTTTAAAGGTATAATCAGAAAAGGTTACTCATGTAAACTATCCACTTTAAGATTCCATTAAAATGATAAAAGTAACATTAAAAAACATACTTTTTAAGAATAAAGGATAACATTCAAGCTTAACTATAATGTCAAATACTATTCTTAAAACATAAACATTTCCATGATGCCTTCCTGATAAGCCTACTTTGTTCATAGCCTCTCTGCAATAAACATTATACAACGCACATCAAAAAACAAAATAACTCTTGGCCAATTCATACTTTCATACATGTATGCCAGTTAAGACTATGTAAATCTAAAGAACTTGTCCTGGGTCTCAGAAGACCTCTAGGTTGTCCCTAAGTAAGAAAGGAAGAGACAGGGTTTGAGAGAAGGAAATAAATAAAGCAGCTCTAGAGATTTGAGTCTAACTCAGAATTACTCCCCAGTAATAGATTGAGGAGTTCCTGGGTACTGCAAACAATTAAGTGCTCAACTACTTGCCAAAAGATTAGCAGTCTGAACCCCCTCAGAGGTGCTACAGAGGACAAGCCTAGTGATCTGCTTCCAATGGCTCACAGCCTTGAAAATACTACAGAGCAGCTCTCTTTTGCACACATGGGGTTGCCATGAGTCAGAATCAATGCAACAGCAACTAACAACAACAACAACGAATAAAGAGAGGGCAGTGGTAGTCAGTGGTAGAATTCCTGTTTTCCATGAGGGACACCCAAGAGCAACTGTGATCAGTGGTAGAATTCTTGTTTTCTATGAGGGAGACCCAGGTTCATTTCCCAGCCAATATAACTCATGTGCAGCCCACCAACTGTAAGTGGAAGCTTATGTGTTGCTATGAGGCTGAACAGGTTTCAGAGGAATTTCCAGACTAAGACAAATTAGGAACAAAGGCCTGGCAACCTACTTCCAAAAATTAGCCAATGAAAACATTACAGATCAAAACAGTCCAATCTACAATAGATCACAGGACGTTGCTAAAAGAGCAGGTAGTCTTTCATTCCATTGTGCATGGAGTCACCATCAGTAGGAGGCTGACTAGACAACAGCTAACAAAATCATCAAGGACTGAAATATACCTGAAGAGGTAGATACTGACTTACACAGATTATCCTAGTTCATCCTGATACCAGGATAAAGAGAGATTGAACTTCAGGAGTGACACAATGTACTGAGGCTAAACATTGTGCTTTACTTGACAAAGTCTTTTTCTTTGTTATTCAAATGCCATTCTGTGGTTTTAAGGCCTAGTGCCAATTCCAAATATTGTACAATTTTGACAGTCCAAATATTATACAATTTTGACAGAACTACTAGCAGGTGAAGATGAAAAACAACTTTTAAACATTTCCTCCAATTCACTCCCTGACTGCCACCCAAAAAAAACCAGAATACAGGGACAAGGTTCAATTTTGGCAATGTTCAATACCCTAGTCACTTATGTACGCATCTTGCCAGATGCTCACAATAACCTGTCTGAACTACTTCAGCTCTATTACTAGCTCTATTAGTCCCAGTTTACACATGAAGAAAATTCAGAGAATAAGTGAATTTCTCAATGTCACAATGTAATTCTGGAAGACAGAAATGTTAATCTTCCTTCCCAAATGAAGACAGCAATTCAAAAAGGTTTAACTACACACAGAGAGTTAAACAACTATGACCATCATGCTTCCTGACCCCTCCCACCACCACCCACTGCCATCTAGTTGATTCTGATTCATAGCGACCTTATAGGACAGAGTAGAACTGTCCCATAGGGTTTCCAAGGCTGTAAATCTCTACAGAAGCAGACTGCCTCATCTTTCTCCCATGGAGCAGCTGGTGGGTTCAAACCACCAACTTTTGGTTAGCAGCTGAATGCTTTAATCTCTGTATCACCAGGGCTCCTTTCCTGACTTCTAGTCATTTTATTTCTTCACTAAGTATGTAGAAGATCATGGACTAAAAAAAAATTAGCCATATTAAACTAAGTATTTCATATACAAATCTACCCAAGTTGGTTAAGAGGAGGAAAAAAAAAAAAAAACCGGTTCCCTCAACTCCACCATAGATTTTAACAGTGGAAAAAATTTGAAGAGCTTCATTTTTTAAAAAAATAAACAAAATACCAAATTAGACAGAGACAAGTATTTATAAATTTTAGTTAACCTTCTGTGTCAGCATACCATAAAAAAAACCTACAAGTGTTTCTAAAGAAGCAACTGCTTAACCTCAATTAATGTGATTTTCTAATACAGAAAAGGTACTCATCCTGACCATACTCAAACATTCCAAACCAACTTAAATGACACACTAAATTCATTAAAATAGCCCAATTATTTTGATGACTATAACTTTCTATATTATTTCACCAGAAAACAATTTTATTTCAGCCACAAATGAGGAGATATTTAAATGTAACTGCAAAATATGTAACTCAGAGATAGCTTATTCTGAGTCTTGTGTCAAATAGAATCAGCACTTAAAATTTAAACATAATTAAGTAAAAACAAGAAGGATAAAAACTAAACTTACCACTTCAGAGTCTGATCCTATTAAAAATATAAAAAGAGAACATTTTCAGATAGCAATACTTTATAGGCAATTATATACAGGATTTCTACAGCACAAACACACTGCTTAGGCAAGCCAATCCTCTGTATACTCATAATAAAGGAATTGCATCCTATAAAGATTTTAGACTCTTCCATAATTTCTTACCTCTAATACCATGATACTGTTGCAAAGCGTGTCCATCCAAATCTTTCAGCATTATAAACTAGGTAAAAATCAGTATACCTTTGGTAATCTATATCTGTGGGAACATGTACTACTTAAATTGCATGTAATAAAATTAAATACAAATTTGCTTAAACCAAGATATTTAAAGTTTGCTTCTTTTTAAATGAAAAGAACACAGGAAACCTATATACTTACCATTTTGAGCTTCTTGACACCTTTTAATCCAGATAATGAAATTAACATCTGCATCTAGAAAGCAAAACAATGTAACATCACTCATCAGTACAACTTAACATATTCATTCAACAAATACTCAGTAAGTACTTATTACGTGCCAAACACTATTCCAGGCACTAGGGAAGATTCAGCAGAAAATAAACAAAGACAACTGTACTAAGAGAGTTTCCAGCAACTGTCATGTTATAGCTATAAATGACAGTTAGTTGTTTATAGTGAGGAATTTCAATTTAAAAACTTAGATTTTTTTTTTAACAGAAATAAAAAAGCCAATCCTCAAATTTATACGGAGCTCTGAATACCTAAAAGTAATCGTGAAGAAAGCATGAAGATTTACACTTCCTGATTTGAAAACATACTACAAAGTCACAATAATTAACACAACCTGGTATTGGTATAGTAACAGTCAAATAAACCAATGAAACTGAATTGAGCGTCCAGAAATAAATCCACACATCTAAAGTCAACTGATTTTCAACAAGGGTGCAGTGGCCATTCAATGGGGGAAGAAAGAATCTTTTCAACAAATGGTACTAGATAATTGGACTGTCACATAACTGAAGAATGAGTCAGAATCCATGCCAACACCATACACAAAACCAATTCAAAATGGATCAAGGACCTACACGTGAAAACTAAAACCATAAAATTCACAGAAAAAATATCGGGGTATAGCTGCGGGACCTAATTTTTAAACCATGGATTATCAGAAATGCCAACCAAAATATAAGCCACAAAAGACAAAACAGATAAATGGGACCTCATAAAAATTAAATACTTTTGTTTATCAAAGGTCTTTACCAAAAAAGTGAAAATACAACATACAGACTGGGAGAAAATTTTTGAGAAACAAATTATACAATGTTGTTGTTGTAGTTATGTGCCATCAAGTCGGCCCTGACTCATAGCGACCCCTCCTTGGGTTTCCGAGGCGGTGTATCACTATAGAAGTAGGATTGCCCAACCTTCCTTCCGAGGAGTGGCTGGTGAGTTTGAACTGCCAGCCTGCTGGTTAGCAGTCAAGTGCCTTAGGCACTACGCTACCAGAGCTCCTAATTATACAATAAGGGTGTAATATTCAAAATATGTTTAAAAAAAAGAATTTACAACTTTACAACAAAAAAGACATGTAACCCAATCATAAAACAGAAAAGGACCTGAACAGACATTTCACCACAGAGGATATTCAAATGGTCAACAAGGACATGAAAAAATGTTCAACATAATTAACCATTCCCAAAACCCACTGCCTTTCCAACTCTCAGGAACCCTATAGGATAGAGTAGCACAGCCCCATTGAGTTTCAAGACACTAGTCTTCATGGTAGCTCTGGTAGCATAGTGCCTAAGGCACTTGACTGCTCAACCAGAAGGCTGGCGGTTCAAACCCACCAGGCAATCCTCGGAAGGAAGGTTGGGCAATCCTACTTCCGTAGTGATACTGCCTCGGAAACCCAAGGAGGGGTCACTATGAGTCAGGGCTGACTTGAGGGCAAACAACAACAGTCTTCATGGAAGTAGACTGCCTCATCTTTCTCTAACAGAGCAGCTGAAAAGTTCAAACCACCAACCTTTTGGTTAGCAGCCAAATACCACCAAACCTCCTTTCACTAGCCATTTTTGAGATTACAAATCAAAACAATGAAACACTATACCTCATCCCCATTAGAATGGCAATGACCAAAAACATGGAAAATAACGAGCACTGGTGAGATGGCAGAGAAACTGGAACTTTCTTCATCCACTGCTGGTAAGAATGTAAAATGGTGCAACCACTGTGCAAACAGTTTGACAATTCCTTAAAAAGCTACACATATACACTCCTTGGAGAGATCAATCAAGGGAGAGTAGAAGGGCTGTGTATGCACAGAGAGACAGCTCCAGGCAGGAATGCACAGGAGGGAAGGACACAGAGAGAAGGTAGCTATGGGGAGGAAGAGGGAGGAGAGCTGTTGCACTGTGGGAGGTTGCAGTCAATGTCAGGAGACAAAATGTATGTAAACTGTTGTATGGAAGATGAATTTGTTCTGTAAACTTTCACCCAAATCATAAAAAAATTTTTTAAAAAGCTACACACCCTACACAAAGAAAACTATAAAAAACTACTTCAAGAAACCATAAGTGATCTACATAAATGAAAGAACATACTATGCTTATTGATAGAAGATTGAACAT